CCCACCCACACCCACACCCACACCCCACACCCCACACCCACACCCCAAGATAAACGGTATTGTTTCTTGGTTTTTAGGACGGGATGATCATGTAAAACTTAGATTTTTAAATGAAATTTTAAATTCGAAGTTTTATCTTGAAGATTGATCTTAGCATTACGAAAACTGCATCCAGAGTTACGCTAACCAATCGTAGTCTTGCATTGAAACATATATTTTTCATACGTGAATGTCCAGAATTTGTTTTTCAACATGATTATAAACAACGAAAAGCCATAGCTAATTCGTTAGGCAAAAAAATGTTGGATTATTCTAAACCAATATTCGAACAACATTTAGCTATTCTAATCGGAGATGAAGATAAGATACTAACATGAATAAAAACAAATCTCTGTTATTCAATGACTCTCTTTACTGTTCAAATCTCTTAACCAATCCTCAAAATTGTTTCTATTTTCAGAAAAACCTTTTTTATGTTTATCCTACTAGTGCCGGTTTTGTTCCCTGTACAATCCGACAGAACACGAAAAGTACTCTCTGGTCGCGCGCGTGTGCGACTGTTTCAATTAGTGCGCTTTTCAGCGAGCCAATTGAATCTGAAGTGGTGGACAATTTTATTTTATTTTAGAAGCAAAAAAAAACAAATTATAATTTCTTTTTTATCAATTCAATGTTGTTTTTCACGCTTGCTATATCTGGATGATTTGGAGAAGGCGACTTTTCATGTATTTGTAGAGCTTTTTCATAATATGAAAGAGCTTTTGAATATTCGCCCATGCTATCATATACCCTGCCGATGTTGTCGTATGAGGTAGCCAGCGAGGGATGATTCGGTGAGTGAGCTATCTTCTTGATTTCAAGTGATTGTTCGTAGGATGAAAGTGCTTTTGAATACTCGCCCATGTGATGATATACCAAACCAATGTTATTGTAGGAAGTAGCCAACGAGGGATGGTTCGGAGGGAAAGCTATTTTCCGTATTTCAAGTGATTGTTCGTAGGATGCAAGTGCTTTTGAATACTCGCCCATGTTATCATATACCATACCGATGTTGTTATAGGAAATAGCCAAGTCAGGATGATTCGGAGGGAGAGCTATCTTATATATTGCGAGTGATTGTTCGTAGGATGAAAGTGCTTTTGAATACTCGCCCATGCTATCATACATCCCACCGATGTTGTTGTAAGAAGTAGCCAACTCGTGATGATTCGGAGGAAGAGTTTTCTGGCTGATCTCCAGATCTTTTTCGTAATATGAAAGTGCTTTTGAATACGCGCCCATGTAATTATACACCAAACCAATGTTGTTGTAGGTAACAGCCAACGATGGATGATTCTGAGGGAGAGCTATTTCCTGGATTTCAAGTGCTTGTTCATAAGATGCAAGTGCTTTTGAATATTCGCCCATGTTTCGATAAACCGAACCGATGTTGTTGTAGGATTGTGCAAGGTCAGGATGATTCGAAGGAAGAGCTTTTTTCCGGATTTCCAGTGATTGTTCATAGGATGAAAGTGCTTTTGAATACTCGGCCATGCTTCGATACACCGAGCCGATATTGTTGTAGGACTGCGCGATGGCAGGATGATTCGGAGAGAGAGCTATTTTCTGGATTTGAAGTGATTGTTCGTAAAATGGAAGTGCTTTTGAATACTCGCCGATATTTTTATACACCGAACCGATGTTACTATAGTAAGTGGTCTTTTGAATGTCATCCAATGCCTGTTCGAGTAGCATCGTATATATTTGTTCGGCTTTTTTATTCTCACCCATTTTCAATAATAATGTACCCATTTTTTCCCATCCAGTACCGGTGATTTCTATTCGTATTCTTTTTGTAAGCTCACTGAGCTGTGAATCGTCACTTTCACTGGTATGTGTAAGGTCGACTTGCGTTATCTTTAGTCCATTTTCTTGAATTTCTTTGATTTTCTGAACGCGAAATACTGTGTGTGTCGAAAATAGAATTTCTTTTTCTGTTGGATATTCGCTGATTGTATCGATGCGAGCAAACGGAGCCGATTTAATCGTATGATTTAGATTCATTATAAAGAGAACACCAAATTTGTTGTTATTGGACTCGAGTCCATTTTTAATGAATTCAATTGCAACATGTCTCTCTTCGCTTGTTGATAAGAAATTATTGAAAGATACTAATTGACCTTGTTTGATTGTTTTGTCAAAATTTTGTTTGGTCATAGTTTGACCACGAAAAACTACATTTGGTAGTGGTAGTACATCTTTGTCATTCAATTGTTCATGTTGAAGTTGTTCGATATTCTCATGAAGATGTTTAATGAAGAAACCGAATTTTAGCAGAGTAGCCATGTCTAGATTTCCCAATGCTTTGTTTAGCATAGAGCAAGTAAAACACTTTCTACTGTACCACCATATAGGTTTATTATTAACGTTACCTTTGTAATCTCGAGCAAACTCGTCTATAAGCGACAGATGTTTTATGTTACCTTTATACTTCTCACGAGCATATTCAGCAAGATCTTTGGTTTCTTTCGTCTCATCGAACTTAATTTCAAGAATAATTTCTTTGAAAAGCACTGTATACATGAACGATGGTTCGATTTGACCACTAATTACGATAGAATCTTCGTCACATTCTCGAGCAGATTGTCGAACAGAATCACAAATCGAATCGATTACTGTAAAAATACCTTTTACTTTGGACCAATCATCTTTCTTTGCCCATTGGTCATATTGTGATTGTTTCTGGCAGAAGATATAAATTGAGTAGATTTGTGACATAGGATGAATACGTGGCATAACATTGTCACAAAGAGCACCAGAAATTATGAGAAAAGTTTTTTCGTTTTCGAATGTGGAAATATAATTAATACATTCATTTGGATCACGAAATATTTCAATGGTATTAACAGTTTGTCGCAATTTTGTAATTGAATTACGAAAATCTTCGTTTGATTGATCGATTTTAGGATCAAGCCAAATTAAGAGAAAATTTTCTAGAAGGTCTTCTGCTTGTGCATGTTGACCTCGTCTTCCATTAATGATGGAGTCCGATTGTATACATGAAGTACTGTATGATGATGATTGTTTCATAGAAGGACTATGAGGTATTCATATATTTTATTATCGATATCGTAGTCAGACATCTTAATTGATAAGTATACGTTGATGTTTGCCATAAAAATAGGTATAATACTGTTTTTAATGAAAATTTTCCTAAGTCTTCACTCAAACATATTTTTGGCAATTCTTCTGTTGACATTAGTTAGTTCGGAGCACCATCAAGACCAGTGTCTGTATGATTCAAGGGATTAAATTGATTTGAGATACAAAGACTGTATACTAGTAGACTTGAATACTTTTCGACGATATACATCTGGATGATCAATATAGGACATAGCAGATAGATAACAACCTAGAGTATCTCGAAAAATAACACAAAGAAAAAATCAATCGATGAAGTTCATGATATTCATGAATATGTGTCGATATCAAGTGATCAAGTTGTTGTTGGTTGGAACATGTTATTTTACTTCTACGAACAACAATAAACTAAACGATAACTGAATATTTTTTTGCAATAAAACTATATAAAGTGTAATTTATTCAAGAAATATTAGAAAATATCAACAATGATGAGAAAATATATTGATTATTTCTGAAGAAAGGTCTCTTTTGTTGTTTGTAAATAGCGTACATACAACATTGGCAGAAAGAGATTAGACTGTTTTAAAAATAACAACCGATAAATCTGAATAGATTAATGATAAAATAGACTCTCCACACAAAATCTTAGAACATCTAGTAGTTCTCTAAAAAAAAAGTCAATTGGATTTCTTTTAAATTTTAGAATGATGAGGATGTTTAATGTATATGAATGAAGCAATGAACATTATCAAATAGATGTATTGATCATGCTGATTTTGCCTTCATCAAAATATTCTAATAAGTATCCACTTGATCATAAAGTTTGAATGTCAGCTATGTCTCATGTAATGATAATCACACTAGCATAGGAAGAGAATATCAAACTAAGAATTCACATTCGAATAGATCTCATAATATTACATATAAAGTGTAATTATCAACCGTCCATAATATCCAAACTGACCATATTATATGCAAATGCGATCTTTACAGATCCTACTGTTTGTGTTGATGCGCTGCAGCCCATTTTGTGAGATATGTATGTGAAAAGAAAAATAACAAATTTAGTAGCCGTCAAGAAAAAGTGATGGGATACGATTTCACGAAGCTGATTGTCTATTTAAATAATAATGTCGCTTGAGGACGACAGTTGTTCTTTTCTTTCTTACCGCTTAATATTCACTATTTTTATTGACACCGTAAAAAGAAGGTTGCTTAGCTTCAATAGACGGTGCAAGCAAAAAAAAAACGAAATTGTACGTGTACATTCTTCTCATTGCTGTTTTTTTTTAATGTTTCAATAAATAGTCAGTTGCCAAGACAGAACTGCAAATGAGTCAATAGATGTCTTACCAAAAAATACACATTCTGCATGCATTCAATTCAAGGGGGAAACAGCGGACTTCAAGACTTCAAGACTTCAAAAGACTTCAAAAGACTTCAACAGACTTCAACCGCAGTGACTTCATATTTTCACAAGACTTCAAAAGAGTTCTAAAGAGTTCTGAAGACTTCATAGGACTCCAAATGACTTCACAAGACTTTATAAGACTTCGTATGACTTCATAAGACTTCATGAGACTTCATGGGACTTCAAAAGACTTCGTTAGACTTCACAGACTTCGTGAGACTTCACGGACTTCATGAGACTTCACGGATTTCATGAGACTTCAGAGACTTTGTAGGACTTCTTGAGACTTTATAAGACTTCATAAGACTTCACAAGACTTCATAAAACTTCAAGAGACTTCATGAGATTTCAAGAGACTTCATGAGACTTCAAGAGACTTCAAGAGACTTCAAGAGACTTCAAGAGACTTCATGAGACTTCATGAGACTTCATGAGACTTCATGAGACTTCATTAGAATTCAAGAGACTTCAAGAGACTTCATGAGGCTTTATGAGACTTCATTAGACTTCATGAGACTTCATTAGACTTCATGAGACTTCACAAGACTTCACAGGACTTCAAGAGGCAGATTCCATGCGTATCAAAAAACCTTATAGAAATTACATGAAATTTCTATAACATGCAAAAAACAAAACTTATCATATAGAGATTACAAAACTGTTTCTTGTTTCTGAGAATTGTTTCTCGCAGTATATCCATATGTAGAATAAAGATGTGACAATGACACAAAGCGTTGATGAAATTAAAACAGAGAAAATAAACTTTACTAGTATGCGTATGTTTGATTCGATTAATCCAGCATTGGAAAACTCCTATTTTCAGGTGCAAATAAATAACAAGACTAAATTTATACACAAGCAAACGACTTGTTGGTTATTGACCGACGAAGCTAGCCGTTTATCGGCTGATAGATTATCACGAGTGATAGAAATAAACAAAAAGGAATAAAATTCTTCATAAGATTGACATCGAATAAATGAAACATTTCTTATAAAAATAAACCACTTCATTCACAAAGCATTCAGTTCTTAACTATCATGTTTTCTAAGATCCAACAAACTTGAATTTTTTTCCAGTACCTTGACAAACAAACAATAAAAAGTTCACCTTTCTGCTAAAATAAGACCGTCGAAAACAAGACAATTTCATTGCTTTTTTATGAATTTTCATGCACTAAATGTATTTCAAAACTTCCATGAGACTTCAAAAGACTTCAAAAGACTTCAAGAGACTTCAAGAGACTTCAAGAGACTTCAAGAGACTTCAAGAGACTTCAAGAGACTTCATGAGACTTCATAAGACTTCATGATACTGCATTAGAATTCAAGAGACTTCAAGAGACTTCATGAGACTTCATTAGACTTCATGAGACTTCATTAGACTTCATGAGACT